GCTGTGCCCCCGCCAGCCCCGCTCCCCCGGCAGCGCCGCTCGGTGTCCCCGCGGTGCGAGGGGCCTCCCCCTCCTTCCCGCGCTGCGCTCAGCAGGAGCAGCCAGGGCCCCCTTCGTCCGCCCCTCGTGCCGCGGCCTCGCACCGGGAGCCCAGCTCCCCTCCAGGCCCGCTTGTGCCAAAGGATTCGGCCTCTGCCTTCTCTGCTTGTGCCTGGCTGAAGGGCTCTGCTCATGCCCCAAATTCCACCAAGGGCACTCGGTCTCACTGCCAGCTCCGCAAAGTCCTTTCTGGGCTTCAGCCAGGCGGCAAACCCGGCTGTGCCCTGCCAGCCCTGGCCAGGCACAAGTTCCCTCTCCAGGCAGCAGAAGGTTAAAACACCCCTTGTCTCCCTTAGCGCCAGGGAAGGGCTGGACGTTCCCAAGCCACTGTGCTTGGAGCCTGGCGCAGCCACCGAATGTGGCTCTTGCTTCTTCCTTCCTTCAGAAAAGGGATTAGCTTGCTTTCTTTTGGGGTAATTTAACATGTTGAACACAAGCTACTAAGAACAAAAGCTCCCCCAAAGGCGGTTCCTCATTCCCATCTTCTCCACATGCATATTGCTTAGCTGGGGGCTAAGCACACGTGTCTCCTCCGAACCCCCGCACGAGGGACCTGGGGACGCAGTGTGAAGCGATGCTCCCAACTTTGCTTCTCCAGCTGCGCTTGTGTGAGAGGGGCACGTGCTGCCTGGGCTCGCGTCGCCTTTTCTAGAGCCGCTTTTCTGCATTACTCTGCAGAAGATATTTTAGTGCCCAGTGTGAAAGCGCCCTGCTCCCGTGTGAGGGAGCACAGCCCTGCGCGCAGGGCTCTCTGTGGACATCACCATCTTGTGGCGGAAGGGACGCCGGACCCTGGCGCTCATGGAGGAGCCGGGCCCAAAGGGAGGCAGGGCCAGGGCCTGGGCACGCGGAGCGGGAAAGCACTGGCGCCTGCAGGGGGTTGGGGGTCAAAAAAGAGACTTGTCACCAATTCAGAACGTCCTTTATCACCAACTAGGAACAAAATATTTGTTAATTTAAGACTTCTCCGTTCAGCTGGCATTTTACCAAGTATATTCCCGAGCGAGCCCCCCAGCAGGAGTCCTAGATGCTGCAGTCAACTGGAAATGTGGAGTAGGGGAAGCTCAGCAGCGCGTCTGGGAGATGCGCAGCGACAGGGCAAAGCTGTGAGGAGCGAGTACGGGCTGGTTTGATGACACGATGTCTTTTGCAGAAGCTCCTCAGCTTTTACAAACTCCACATGTTTGCACCCGCGGCCCAGCCTGTCCCTGCGCCATGCAGAGACATCTCGGATTCGGGGAGAGATGCGTGTAATACTACATCTATTTCAAATAAACTTGTAAAGATGGTGCCAAGTACCACAGCTAAGCACGGGAGAGGAATTAGTGTTGACTGGGAATATTTACATCAGACTAGGCGCGGGGCCCATGGGAGACAAGGAGCAGCAGGCACCCTGGTGCACCCAAACAACTCTGTTCTGTAGCTTTCTCCCTGGAAAAGGAAAAGCGCTCTGTCACACTCAGCACTACATATTCACTGTTATTCTAATATTATTTTTGTTTAATCAGTGATGAAATTATGGGTAATTCAAAGAGCGAAGGTTCCTCTCTGGTCAGGGCTTGATGGAAAAGTCGCGTCCTGACTCCGTTCTTGGCAGATTCAGGATCACTTTTGCTTCCTTGGATTCTGAAAGTACCTCATTATTTGCAGAACAGGTTAAAGCCCAGCTGCTACTTGCAATCCTAGGGCTTGTTTTGTTGCATAGGAACATGAACAGATCCCAGTTTTTCAGGTGAAGATTTTGATACACATTCTCCTAAGTCATTGTCGTCTCAACTCTGGGAGGATTTGAAAGCATTTAAGGCAACGCTGACAGGCTTTTTCCATTTCTAAAACCTGGAAGTCTACGAGTGAATTTTAAGCCCGAGCGCTGCCTGCCGTCACGTCTCCCTGGTGCCATTTGCCACGGGCAGAAGCGCCGCAGTGACTCCCTGCAAAAAAAACGGCCCCTGTGCGCACACGGGCCTGTGCAGCGCTCCTGACTGAGAACTGTTGGGGCTGCTTTTTAAATTATAGCTGGACAGAAACACCCCGAGAAGTTTGAGGCTTCAGATACCTTCTCTGCCTCTATTAAACAAACCCGCTTCTTGTTTTCGCACTGGTTTTCTGCAGGCCTTGCTCTGTAGCGTGCCATGCCTTGTTCAGAGTTTCTGAAAGGCTCAGGTTTGCAAGGCAGCCGCTGTACATGCTGCAAAATGGGTTTTTATAGCAGCTGTGTGCATTTATTGTTATGGGGACCCACACAGTATGAATATTTTTAAAAACTGTTTTTAATGCTTGCCTTTCAGCATTCCTATTTTTTCCATAGGGCTGAACACCTATTTAAAGTGAGACTGTAAAGACGTGCATATCTATGAGATGTATGGAATTATAATGAATCACTAATAATGGACAATTAAAATAAATCTGTTTATGTGCTTGAGAAATTGACCAATAATTCACATTTTAAAGCTCCCCCAATACTATATTTTTTTCTGATTTTTTTGACGCAACATAAAACCGGAAATAGTAGTGATATTCCCTCTACTTGTAATGCAAAACTTCCAGAATATTAAAAGGAAGTTGCAAATATCAGTGAAGAGAAATTAATGACAGGTCATCAAAGCTAATTTTCTAATATATACATGTTGTTTTTTTTAAGCCTAAAAAAGCCTAAACAAGGATTTAAACCTAATGCTTAATGTTGTTTTAAGAGTTTTTCTGTGGTTTACTGCATGCACATTTTTTTTTTCTTTTTGTCCATGAGAATATTTTGGTTGCCTTTCAATATTTAATACTATTTAATAATTATAATAATGTTCCTTGTTCCTATACATCCTGTAGGGTCATTACAGCTGACTTATATAGATAGGTCAAGCAGCCTGGTTCAGTGATTTCAAAGGGAAATAACGAAATTGATCACTCAAGCCAGTATTTTCAAATTTTTTTTTTAAAAAAAGTAAATATAATTATGCAAGTAATTGAAAACTTGTATTTTTTCATTTGGCATGTCACTGATCCGTTAACAGCTTTATTTCTTTAGTAGTCAAATTATAGTCATAATTGCTGTCTGGTACCACAAACTCTATTTCTTTTATAGTGTTTCATTTAATGGTCTCTCCTGTGCTCTACAGGGTTTACACTGATGGAGGAAATAATTATAATTTTAACTGGTCTGTTCCATCGAGATTTAAGTGGCTTGCATTGTATAGCTTTCTTTGTACGTTACAATGCAATTTCTAGCGATACAAAGTACATTAAAACACTTTACAGAGTTGAGGACAGCTCCTGTCCTACAGGCTGCAAGTGGGGGACAGGCTGTGTAAAGCTGCAGGAAAGAAAAAAGGCAGCAGAGCTGACATTTTAAAAGCCATAAAGAGGCAGGTGAGGGTCCTCGCAGCCCGCTTATTGTATGGGAAAAATAGAAGATGCCGCGATGGCGGGAAGGCAAGTGGGATTTGTGCCAGGACAATACGTGCCATGGCATGTTATTTTAATTGCTGCACTCGCATGAACTGCAAACAATGTTGGTCACAGAGCAGTAGATTTACACGCCTTTTCGTCTTGTTGCCTTAAGCTTTAAGCTGCAATGAAAACGATGGTGACCACCTGGATAGAGACCAGCAATACCCCAGCAATCAGAAAACAAAGCGCATGAGGACGTCGTTCAAACACCACCAGTTGCGGACAATGAAGTCGTACTTTGCTATTAACCACAACCCCGACGCCAAGGACTTGAAACAGCTAGCTCAGAAAACCGGCCTGACCAAGAGAGTTCTTCAGGTAAGAGCACAGCCTTTGCTCTCTACACGTAAATAAAGTTGCAGCTTTAGATTTGAAACACAGGATTTTGCCCACGCTCCAGCATTTCTTAATTCTTGATACCTTTTGCAAGGCTAGTTAAATTCTAGATAGTGCAAGAGTAGTCGTTTCTCTTCAGTTTTCCAAAGGTAGGCTGCTTGGCTTCTCACGTTTTAATGGCAGTTGTGAAGGTCCGAGGCCCTACGTGTTTGCCCAAAGTTAGTTAATTCTGGTGCATATTTTAGCTTCCAATCTACCATAAGAAAAGCTAAAATATTTTTATTAGTGTGTTCATTGTAATTAGAGAACACTTAGATTAGAAATTAGTATGAGTGGTTGCCTTCACAAGAAATTAAATAGAAATCTGGATTTATTTTATCAGGCCAGGGAAGACGATATTTCTTTTGCAGCTGAAGTTGATTTTTCAAGGTTCTTTTTTTTTTATTCATGGTTTAGTAACTTAGAGTGAAAGGGGAGAGCATTTTGCAAAGACTTTTGCTGAAACCTAAATTTTTCTCGCTTCAAGGATACGCACTCGATTTGAATTATTATGGGAAGCAAAAGTGAGAATATTAGTTGATACAGCTCCATTTTAATTTATAGTCGTGATTCAAGAAGTCAAATTTTAATTGGCGCTTATCCAAATAACCATAACCAGACATAAACTGGGACATGTGGGAGCGATGGAATGCCAGAATCTCCTACTGAAACCTTTACATGAATCCTGATTGTAGGAAAATGGTTCGTGGGCTTCGCAGGGACAGCTGGGTTCAGCGACAGGGCCCTGGGAGGGGTCGTGGGCAGCTCTCCCCAGTTTGTAGGCAAGCGGAAGGCAGTAGATGAAAAAATACGGAGGAAAAAATCTATTCCTCTAAGAGAGTTTGAATTTTACAGTGTTAATGCCTAACAGAAAGAGGAATAAAGATTTTGCAGGATTCCCAGTAAAAATCACAAAAGCAAAAGGGAGTATTTTTGAGTCTTGGCTGGCTCCTCCATAGCTTACTATTAATTGTTTTAGTGATGGTGGCTCGGCGTGGTGGGATGTATAATTGGTGTGCCCGTCCTAAGACTAGATGGAGCGTCTCTCAGAGCAGCTCTCCTTGATCCGTGTGCGTGAAGGAGGAATTTTTCTGCATTTATCTGTCCTTATTTTGACACTTCTTTGTTTTATCCTCAGAGTTTAGACACAGTTTAGAATGACCTCTTCTGTCCATTACAGTACATTCATACCTGATTTGTCTGAGCAATTTTCCATACTGTGCTAAGAAAGGAGATCAGTGTCCGCAAAATGTCTTTTTCTTGATCATCCTTCTGTTCTCTCTTCCCACCCTACAGCAGTTTGGACTTCCATCCCTCCCTCTCTCTTCCAATCATCTGCCTTTCCACCTCTTGTCCACATTATTTTCTCTGTTCCTTCCTTCCTTCCTTCTTTCCTTTTTGCAATGTGTTTTCTCATCTACAAAATTTTACTCCACGTCTCCGTAACACTCCAGTCCTCGTTCAGTTTCTTTACTGCTGCTGTTCCCTCCTAATACACAGCATCTTGCAGTTCTGAGGCGCTCAATGCTGCTTTTATTTTGTAGTAACCCTTTGCAATTCCGCTAAACGTTTTTCATATTTTTGGTAATTAGTGTTTCACTTCTTTTACTTCCGCAGTGAAATGCTCCTTTATCCCTGGGCTGCTTTAGCTGAAGAGTGGTGGAAGGTGGTAGCTGGTGGTGAGGATTGCGCTCAGAGGATGATGCTGTTGGAGGCACCTCAAGAAAACGCCTCAGAGTGATGCTTTGTCTAGGATCACTCTGATGAGTTTTCCTGGCTGCTATGAGTGCTTTCTCATATTTTTTGGGGCCCTTTTTGTTTAAAAATTAATTTGGCCCACAAAAAAAACACACGAGAAAACTTGCTTTTTGTATTCCTAACCTGTCAGTGGAAATAGTGCAGATTTCTGAAGCCACTGAGGCAATTTTTCAGACCCCAAAGTTCATCTATACTAGTTCGAAGGTTGGGGAAAACTCTGCCTGATGTTGGTTACTGAGATAGCGTCACCTGTAAGTTCTTCTGAGCCGAAGAGGTTGGCATTGCATCTGTCTCATTTATTGAACATGCTGTAATCCACTGACACTGTTCATCTCAAAAAGCATCATTAGTATTAGCCCGTCTTACATACGGAAGCCGCACGGATTCCCAAATGTATGTGCATACATCCCAGTAGTAAGAAATTCTCAGGATTCTCTATTTTACTATTAGGCATGTTTGTAAACTGCTGTATTTTTGATATGTTCAGGTCTCAGTTCCGCTGATGAAAGACAATATTTCTTTATGTATCCTCAATAGAAAATATTTTAATATAAAATACCGGAGAGCAGATGAAGACAAAGACAGCTGTCCCTTGCACCGCGTCGGGGAGCTTCCCAAACGTCTGCCGCGGAGTTCCCAGCGCTTTCGGAAACGGCTCTAGTGCCCTTGCTATGGAGATAGTCCCACAAAACATGGAAGGGGGTAGTTTGTAGGTGGATGAGAGGAGAATTTGGCCCAGTTCTTCGTGATGTGCGATATCAGGCTTGGAAAATGTGACTCCTCTCTTGGCTGTACATGCAATTAGTCATCAGCCACCCATGTCCAGGAGCAGAACGGCAGGGAAATGTCACATACTGCTCCATAAATTACATTTCCTTTAGTAGGTTTGTAATGAAGACTATTTTCTTTAAGTAGCGACATTAGAATCACAGTAAGTCTATTTCTGTTTGTGTCCCGTATTTTTATTTATTTTCACTCACATTTAACTTCTTGTTTGCAAATTGATTTGTATACCTCTTGTAATGCAGCCGGGAACACATGCCTATTATGGTAAGCTTTCATTTGCAATTAAAGTAACCGGCTAATTGTGAGCTGACTAATTGGCGCAAATATTATTCTTTGCGAACGGATCTTTCTTACTCCGAGTAGAGAAAGGGAAGGGGGGAGCAGGGAGCCCTAGAAGCTGTGGTTTGCCAGCTGCAGGGTCCCCCGGGGGCATGGCGGGCGCTTGGCGGAACGGCTCCGCGGAGCGCTGCTCTGGGAGCGCTGCTGCCCGCGCTCCTGCGGACGCGGAGCTTCACACAGCGGTGTCGGCACCCGCGCTCCTTCCAGCAGAGCAGCCCTTTCCCGAGGCCGCATCCGCAGAGTCCCCTGCAGCCCTGCGCCAGCCGCGCCAGCAATAACCAGAACAGAGCAGTGAGAACGTGCAGGGAAGGCACGAGGTTTGCCTTGTGCTGCAACAGCTGCTCTGCTTCTATTCCTCCCTGTGTTATTTAGTAAAATTCAGAAAAGCTAAATGTCTCCCAGGTAGCTGTGTGAATTAACAAAATTGTGCTTAAAAATTTCTTTCTAGCTCAAGCTCTGCATATTACTAATACTTTATAGTTGCAACAATGGAGACTGGATAAACAAAAATTGAAATTATCTTAGGCAATTACGTGGGCTTATTCATGGCAGTACCTGAATCCTTCGCAGTACTTAGTGCATTTGTTCTCAGAACTTCCCTGTCCTTTAGGAGATGTTACTTTCTCGCTGTTTTACAGCTGGGGAGCGGAGGCGCAGGAAGCCAAGCTGGCTGTGCAGGATGGCTCTGCACCGTGCAGCCACTGCGCCCTTCTGCCCAGAGCTTCAGCTCCCGGCTGCAGACGGTCAGCTCTAGCCGGGGTCTAGTACAATCAGTGGTTGGTCTTGCAGCTGCTTTTATTTTTCAGGGAGAGATTTGTTCCATATTTTTCCTGCTAGATTTGAAATAGCTCAGCCCTATGATACAGTTGGACAGAAGAACGCTAAGTGCTTCCCACTGATTTTGTCTCTTCTTCAGTACTGAAGACCAGATTCCTAATTGTGCAATTGATGTGAGATAAGTCCTTCTGGAACGATTCTTCCGGCTCCGTATATTTGGGTGGTTATTTCCTTGCTTCGATGCGGCGGCGTTGCCGGTGCGGGGCCGGTGAGCGAGGCGCAGGGGCACCCGCGGCCCTGCCCCGCAGAGCAGCGCTGTCCACTCTTCCAGTTCTCTTCAGTGCAAAGGCTGTGCTGAAAACTCCCATATCCTAAATGTGTGCCAGAGTACTGCAGTTGTGATCATTATTTTATGTGATGCCTTTCTAATTTAAAGGAAGATATTTTCAGAATTTAACTAATCAATATTTAGATGTCTTTTCAGCGATAACACAAATATTTAGGCTGCACCACTTTAAAGATCTGTATAACTGTTAGCCACTTAATATCTGGGGCTCCTCCACGCTTGAATATATATATGTATATATTTATGAACACAAGTGTAAAATTCTGTGGTAGTATGTATATGTGTGTATATGCAATTAGGCTAGAGACTGCTTGGCTCTAACTGCGAGTTAAGAGCGGTGTCCATACGTGTCAGCAGCGGCCGTCTCTGAGCTCCTCGTTACACTTCACATCTGTTATCACTAATGGCAAGGGGCAAAAGCAGATCCTGGGCAGGAGGGGGTGCGGATTTCTGCACAGGCTGGTCCGGCCGTGTAGCAGCGACGCGAGCCCCGCGCGCGGCTGCCCTGTGCGCGCCGTGCGGGGCAGTGCCATGGCGCAGGGTGCGAGCGCAGCAGTTTTCGCCCCCTTCGCCCCTTTCCGTGGCAGAGCACAGGCCAGAAGCCCTGTTGCATCCACAGTGGAAAGACTTGCTCGTATTCCTTAAAGCAGCCGCCGTGGGGACATGGTTATCCGCAAGGGTCCCTTGCTGGGACTGTAGCAATGACATGAGCCCTTCTGATACCACAGCCCCAACGCTTGTCAGCTAGATCTGTACAGTAGCTGGTATTGACATATGACAGGTTGAACGTAGGGTATTCCATGACATTTGGATATTCGAGTAGTATTTTATACCTGTGTTTCATACAAGTTTCACAAACACATTTCATTATATCTGTTTTCAAAGAGATCAGACATGCATTTTATCTTTAAACAAATCCTGCAGGCAGTAGAGAGCACTATTAACTTGGACTTAAACCTTGAAATTTAATTGGAGAAGATGAAGTCATAGCTTTTGTCCTTTGTTCATAGTCAGATAATGAAGAGATAATGCAAGAAGTAGCAATCCTGGAAAAATATTTCTGTCCGTGGTTATCATTTCTTCTGAGATAACAGTTTTAAATGAGCTTTGAGTCTTTAATGCTATTCAAATCTCTACCTTCATTACAGTACTTAGGAAGTATAAAAACAGAGATTGGGGTGAGCGCTGGGGACTGAAGCATTTGAGAAGGAAGGAACCCAAAAGAGTGAGGGAGAGGGGCAGTGTCTCCGGCAGGTGGAATTGCAGCTAGAAGGGCTGCGCCAGGCGCTCGCCCAGGACGCCGGGGCCCGCAGCGGGCAGGGGGCTCGGCCAGCGCTGGGCACCTCCTGCCTCTCGTGGGAGCGGGGCTGCAGAGGCAGCTTTGTGAAGCTCTCTGGTCGGTGGGCATCGGGTGCTTGGTTTGCTCCCCGTCCTGAGAAGTACTCGTGGCAGCGAGGGATCCACGGGGCTGCCGGGTTGCGACGTGTCCTTCCGCGCAGCCGGCAGGGAAGGGCTGCGCTGTGGGGCCGGGGCTGGCCGGGCAGGCCGGCGCGGGACGCTTCTCCAGGCGGGGGCTGCGCTCCTAATGTTACCAGTAAAAACACCCTCCCCAAGTCAAGCGTTGGTGAATTTGTGAATATGCTTTTGCTTTTTTCATTACTTTATTTTTTTCTCAACACTGCAGCTCTTTAAATGCTACCCTGTTATATTAAACTATTTCAGGTTTGGTTTCAAAATGCCCGAGCCAAATTCAGACGGAACCTCTTACGTCAAGAAAACACAGGGGTGGATAAGACTTCAGATTCAACACTCCAAGCAGGGACCCCATCAGGTCCTGCCTCAGAAATATCCAATGCCTCCATGAGTCCATCCAGCACTCCCACTACCTTAACGGACTTGACTAATCCTACCATGCCTACTGTGACATCTGTCTTGACGTCAGTGCCCGGGAGCCTTGAGGTTCATGAATCTCGAAGTCCTTCACAGACCACTCTCACAAACCTTTTCTGATGACTCTTTCTCAATAATTTCTTTAAAAAAGAAATTATTCTTAGTTGAAATTCCAAGTGTATTTTAATAGAGGCTTTGAGCAACTGACTAACCACAATTAGGATCTCTCCTAAAAACAGAAGGAAATGTAGTGTTCTGGTATTATGGAGCATGGACTGAAGAATAACTTGGAAGATCTATTGCAACACAACATTTGTGTAACTGTACAGTTTTGTGGACTGAGCAAGGGAAACAGCAATTAATTTAAGTTGGCTAAAGCTTCTGTATTTTCAAAGACTGCCATGTGCCTTATATACTGTTTTATCTACTTTGGATTCCATGTCTACTTCTCTCTTTTTCTCTCTGTATATTTATGACCAGGGCAAAAATGTTAAGAGTTTGTTACTTTGAATAGTCCTAAGCCTTTCATTGGTTGCTTTGTTGTTTTAGAATTTTAAGGTCAAAGTCTGTTCGAATACCAGAATTTGTAAAATCTAACCAGTAATAAAACCACTTATGGAAACTACTTGGTAATGGCTGCAGTTACATTTAACATTAATTTTGCAATTGAGATAGGCTGATTGTATTTAAATGGATTAGAAAATCACAGTTCAAACACAGAATCTGCCTAAGATGAACTCTGTGTGTTGTATACATGCCTCCTGTTCCGAAGTGTATATGGGTGAGGAATCCAGCCTGTACAACAGTCTAGGTATTTTCATTATAGAGAAATAAGTGATTGTTAGTTGCAGGTAGGAATGATCACATAATGTTAAAATTCAGGCAGACAACTTGTTCGTAGTTGTGTTGCTGAATGGAACTTGGCTCCAGGCGGCGTCCGTGGGAGCGTCGCTGCGCGCGGCGCGGGGACGGCGAGGGGGACGCTGCCCGTGCTGTCCCTAGCAAGGAGAAGGAGGTGTTCAGCTTGCTTTGTGACACTGCTGGGCAAAGATGAGACCAAGTTATGGCCAACAGTTTTTTTGTAATGCTTCGAAGGAATAAAAAGCTGGGGAAGAATATGATATTATTGATCCTAATGAAAGTAGTTATTCCTTTAACTATTTTGGACCTTTTGAATTAACTTACTTCATTCTCCAGATAAAATTTGTGCAGAATATTACTGATACTTAGAGCGTTTCCCTATCATTTCTAAAGATGCTTTTCTGTAATTAAATAAATGAGTATACCTCAACCTTAGAAGAATGAGTGCACCCCACGCTGTTTGCCCTGTGGTTTTATAGACTGTGATGCATAACCTGGGGATGGCTGCTCCTTTTCAAACCTGTTACAATTGAATTTGCCATCCCTAATGTTAGGTTATAGGTGGCTAGCTCTCTATATCTGGTGTGTCCTTCCCTCTGGATCAAAGTTGTTTGAAGATTATTCTAGATAAACAGCAGGATAGGTGCCAAGATTCAGGTCCTTTGCCCTTCCCACTGCACTGAAGATGATTTATTAGGCCAGACTCTGTGGAAACAATGTTTTGGTTTAAAAATGCTATATTTATTCAGCTTTCTCAGCTGAAAATTTGCCATTCCTGTGCATGCCAAATTCCTAGGGAGATCAGTGAGGGATCTCAGTGTCTGAGGACTGTGGGATAGAAATACTGACATAATTAGGTCATTTATTAATCTTTTTTCACATTTCAGCTTTAAGAAAGTTTGGGCGAACTCTCTGGGAAGCGAGGTAGCCCTTCAAGCCCTGCCCCGTCCCTAAGGGCTGTGAAGGGGATGCGTCCCCCGCAGCAAGCGAGCTGGCGTAGCGCAGGCTGTTAAGTTTATGCACTACGATGGCATTAAAAAAGTCAGGTTGAATTAATAACCTCTGCTAGTTTGTCCAAGACATCTTTTCCTCGCAGTAGCAGTGTCCAGCAAGGAAGCTGTGCTGGTAGGGGACGGTACCGAGGGCGTACCTGCCTTGCAACGCTGCTCCGCCGCGGGTGTTCTGCTGTACCTGTTGTTCTGCTCATTGTCACTTACCTTGCAGATTTTATTTTGATGACGTTAGGTGGATCTTTCCTTGATTTAAAAGGCAATGTTGGTCCAATGTTAAATGGATACTGCCCATAATTAAAAATCCTGTGTGTTGACTTGTAACCAGATAGATTTTAAAAACTGAATCCTGGATTCCTAAGTGTTATGGCTAATGTAGCTGATAACAATTCAAACGGTTCTTTAAAATTGCAGTGCTATGATTTGTGCTCTTGTATTTTAACTACCTGAATCCACATGGGTGGAAATACCTTTCAAATCAGTTCTCAATATTGCCTCTTCAAGTAACTGAAATTCATGGAGGGGAGTACTCTAATGTTAATATTATCTGAAACCTATAAAAGACAATTAGATGAATTGTCTGGTTTAATCAAATCAGGGATTTTGCATATAAATAAGAGACAATATTCTATGTAGGGCCTTTATGTAGGTGCATTAGGATTCACTCACTGGCTCCAATGACCTATGTTGTCCCCATGACTGTTTCAATCCTGTGGTATTGTTTGGTTGTTTAGAGCTTGTTGGTTTTGAATGCTGTACATTTTTTTACTACTGCAATCCTAATGTTTCTTCACATACTTGTACAGTTCCACATTTGATGTATTAGTCTGAAATTCTGTTAAAAACATGAACAAAAATGGAAATGATATTTCTTTGGAAGTGTATTTTTAATGTATATCTAATTTGAACTAGTTGAACATACTTCTTTACGTTTTGCATGATAGGTGTGTAGTTCATTTTTTAAATATGAAAGAGACTTAAGAGTAACTTAGATTGAGAATATAATGAAACCTATACAAATATGGAAAATACATACAATGATTTGCTACTTTTTGACTCAAGAAGCTTTTTGAAATACACTTTATCTAGTTTATTTACAATAATGCAGATATCTTGTCTTTGAGTTCATCCGTAATACAGAATATAAAAAGGGATTATGCGTTAGAAAAATGTTCAAGTGCCCTTTGTTTTTTGGCAGCCAGACAACGAGGCGTGTTTGATCTGAAGAGTGCTGGAAAAGTATATTTCAATCTATAGTGGAAAGGGAGAGTATTGCCATAAAAGACATGTAATCACAGTTTTAAATTTCTCAATGCAATTAATAGCTATGTTTCATTAAACTTTTGTTTTAATTCAAATTATATAATTTGGGGGGAGAAGACCCAGAATATAGCATTTTTGATAAATGGACGTTTGGTCACTATTAGAGAGGCTCCTAATGACTCCATCGAGCACAGTGGGAAGGGCTGAGCCCGGCTGTTTGAAGGGTATTTTTTCCCCTCTGTTTCCTTTCCGTGTTTGTAACCTTGGCTCCTGCGCCGAGCGCCCTGGGCTCTGCTGGCACGAGGCTCCCTCTGCCCTTGCAGGAGGAGCGGGCGATCTCCGGATCGTCCTCCGCCGCGCGATACCCTCCCACCCCCGGGCGTTTGCACGGGCTCTGCGGGTCGCCCTTCACCTGCCTTGTGCTTGGCCTGCCCGTAACTCCTGCAGCGGGAATCCCACAGCGCGCGCAGTGCTGCAGCGTTCCTACCTCCGGAAGGTTCTAGGGAGGAAGGACACCAACCTTCCTTTCAATTTATTTTATCCCTAGCTAAAATGAAGACCTGATCTGTAAAATACCTGGTCCATAGATTTTCCAGGTCACTTTGAGGGGTGTTTGGCAGGGCTATGGGATGAAGTCCACGTGCAACGTGCCAGGCCTGGAGCAGTGTGAGATCCTGGTGCGTCGCTGCGCACAGTTTGTGCAGGCACCTGCTCTGCCAGCTCTACGCACTTCTGCTCTCCACGTTTGCAGCGTTACATCCCCACGCAGATCGAGCCCTTCCTGCCTCGTCCTGCGGCTGCCTTGCCATCGTTCTGTCCGAGGCCTCAGGCTCTTCGTGGGGAAGACCAGACACCGCAGCGGAGGGGAGCCCCTGCACGTGCCGGGCAGCCTTAGAGGGACAATCGTCCACTTTTATCCTAGTTAGAGGAAAACAGGAGCCAGGATCACATTATTAATCTACAGTTAGTAAAGATGTATTTCAAGTGTATGTTGGAACTGGCAAGTTGCTTTAGAAAGGGAATAAGGAGGGCCTGATTTGACGCGCTGGAAGCTGCCGTGGTTGCGAAGATGAGCAGCGAAGCTGTGCGAGTGCTCCCCACTCACTGGTGGAGAGAGAGCCCTTAATTCACTGCAGGCTTTGGCTGGGACTCCTAGAATGAGGTGACTTCAGGCTGGGCAGTGAGGATCAGACGGGGTCAGTGCGTGGCAGGACACGAGTGTCAGGAGTGTCCCCAGAGCGACGGGGCAGGCGGCTGCGCTCGCAGCAGCGGCCCCCGCACAAGCGACGGCGCCGCGGCCGCTGTGCGGGACCCGTGTCCCGTGTCCCCGGCCTCGCGCCACCTCCCCTGCTCGCTTAGCGGGTGAGCTGGCCCTGCCTGGAGCTGCGCAGGAGCCAATAGCCATGTTTGCCAGCAGCAGCAATGGTGTGCAACCAACACCCCGGCTCATTCTGCTCACATTTCATATTTTATAAACCATGTAAATGCGTAGCCTTTTAGGATCTGCACTGTAATGCAGTCAATTTTGGATTCTTTTCCTGAAACTGACTGGTTTCATGCCATGAAGATGGGCAGATGCTGACTTGCTTTATTCATTCTCTATTGCTACCCCTAGTTCAAAAAGCATTAGAGCAGTAACCAAAAGGTCCAAACCTTCCATTCCTATGAACTGCACTTCTCTGGCTGTTTGTAGGAAATTTTAACTCTGAGAGAGGCAGAGAGAAATCCATCTCAAAAGTGATTTCCACCAAAGCAGCAAGAACTGATAGGCAAAAAGACAGCTTTTTCCACCCAGCCCTTGATACTAATTAACCATGAGTTTGTTTCCCCATTGAGCCTGGTAGAAACAGAGTTGTGCTGGCCCAGAACCACGAGTGGCCGTTATCAATTTGCCACTTTATAAAAGAATGGACAAAAGGCTATCCCAGGCCTCCTGCATCCCCGGCCGCACCAGTGCAATCCTGGCAGTTCTTCCTGGCCTAACGGCTGGAATCTTAAACAAACAGGTCAGTAAACATGCCCATGTTTTCTTGTTTGGAGCAAAGCACAGCGCTTATGATATGCAGCCTGCTGGCAATAAATTCAGAGCTAGCAATGTCATTTAGCATGCTAATGCCTTGCACTGTGCAAATTATAATTATTTCCTAGAGAATTCTGTTTCTGTGGAAATTCTTCTGTTGTTAGAAAAATCACTGTAAAAGGCACATGTGTGTATATATTTTTACATTACGTCAGTTTATTAGATTGTAAAATCCATCACTTAACAGAAAGTAACATTTTTGCAACCAGAGAATAAGAACTAATTAAGCTTTTCTTTCAAGAGAAAAGCTTTATCTTGCAGTTGTGTAATTTGGTAAGAGCTGAAGCAGGAGGGACGCAGACATTTGAACGGTGCTGCACAACCGGGTGGTGACCCGGTCCGACTGATAAATCCCTGCAGCGCCTGTTTGCGGGCGCCTACGGATTGCTGTGTAATTAGTGCTAGGAAGTC